GAGTTTTTTTTAACCCATCTTATGGATTGTTAAAAAAAAAAAAAAAGCTAATAATGAGACCCTGCCTCAAAACAAAAAATAAAAAAGGTTCAAACCCCAACACACACACACACATACACACACACACACACACACACACACACACACGTAGGGACAATTTGGGAAGGGATGCTGAAAGTGAAAGAAATTACTTTTTATCAGTGTAAATTTGATTAACAACCTGACATGTAGAAAAAACAAAGTCGGGTCAGATTAGGCCAGAAAAAAAACATAAATGAAACTTGAAGTGATGATTTTTAATGAAGCAGAAAAGACACAGCAATAGAGGAAATGAACTTTGCAGTGACTAAAATTAACCGTGGAAGTTGGTGGTCAGGAATTTCAGTGAAGCCCACTCTGTTCATACCAACAAACCAGATTCATTATAGTTTCTGATACAAAGACATTCAAGCAAGGTGTAAAAACTGTGCTAGATGAATCAGAGTATTTATAGAACCTGGAGGTGGGCTCTGGCAAGTCAGATTGCTTACAGTGATGAAATGTCACTACCTTTGTCCTTCAGGTAGGATCAGAAAAGAGGGGATTACTTTCTCTCTGGCAGTAAAAAAGTCAATAGTGTTGGTAATTTCAGAAAGGAAGGAAAAATGGCACAAAGATGATGGCCATTTTCATTTACAGTTGGAAACATAAGTCAGATTTTTCATTCTGATTCCAATGAAATGAGGAACTCTTGAAAATGCTATTTCCTGTCCAGTACAAGGGAGGACTTGTACTTTTTGTCACCACCACTAAAAAAAAAAAAAAAAAAAAAAAAAAAAAAAAAAGTTCATGCAGGCCTGAGGAAGCAGAATTTTTAGGAAGAGAATAATCATATGATTATAATAATAATAGCAATGCCTATCATATCATTTGCAATTTAGGGACACAAAAAGAAGTATAAACTGGGTGTGGTGGTGCATGCCTGTAATCCCAGCAACTCTGAGTCAGGAAGATCACAAGCTGGAGGCCAGCCTTGGAAGTTTAGCAAGAGCCTAAACAACTTGGGGAGGGACCCTGTCTCAAAGTAAAAAATTAAAAGGGCTGGGAATGTAGCTCAGTGGTAAAGTACCCCTGGGTTAAATCCCCAATAAAACCCTTACAAAAAATTATAAGAAGCACTTAGGCTATAGACCAGCTTATCCAGTTCTACCTCAAGAATCACCAAGAATAAGAAAGAAGGTAAATAAAACACTTCAAAGACTATGGACATCTGCTGAAATATTTATTTGTTCATCACACCAAACTATGAAAGTAGAGAAAAGGGAAAAAGTAGAGAGGTCTTAAATTTTGAAAACAAATAGTTAAATTATCTACTTTTGAAATGTTGATGTTTTGAAAACCTCCACAATTTCAGTAGAAATTTGTTTTTTGGTTGCTTAGAAAACAATGTTTTTGATAGAAATTAAAGGAATTTTTTTTTCAAATCCTTAATTCTTCCATGTTGAATAAATAGGTTGCTTCATTTCAGGATATGTTATATCATTAAACACTTTGATTTTATTTAACTAATAGTTACTGAGCATCTTTTTTGTACAAATAGAGACATTCTGTTATATAAACAAAATAACGTGCTAGAAATTCTAGTGTTCAAATGGTAAAAAAGCCAACTAAAGCCAATTTAAGTAAATAATGGCAGGAGGTACAGCAAGTTGTGCACTTTGTACCAAGTGCCCAACCAAGTTTCCAGGAGCTCCAACATCTATCCTGGTGCCTCTGTACTGGCACCATGTGGTAGCAAGTTAGCCATTGGAAGTTATAGATTTTCATCTTCTTACTGCTGATTATCCCAGTGAAAAACATCTCTTCCCAACAATTTGAGGAAACTCCTGAACTCTGCTCATATAAACAGTTCTGGAGCCATAGATAGGGGATTGCATTATAGTTGCATGGAGGAAGAATGAATTGAGGGAATCATTCCTTAAACACTTGTTAACTAGACACAAACCAAGCATGTAATGTATCTCATACATCTCATAGTTATAAACTGTCTCTGTGTAAAATGAATAAGAAAATCTGAGTTTATTCCTCATGCTATTGAGCTACTGATTATTGAGTTGTCAACCAATCTTATTAACTCTCAAATTTCTTCTAAAATGAGAAGATAAATTATTGGTCTCACAAGATAATGGTCTGTTCATCAAATGACAATTCCCAGATACCACAAGTTCCTAGTTTTATTCTTCCTCATCAGGTACTCCTTCTTATTATCTTCTGCTGTACCTTCTTGAAGTTGATCTCTAAATGTGGAACTGACCAGTCCTCTGATCTGCTTTTCTCCATCTAATCTGTACCTGAGAACTCATCCACTCTTATGGGCTTAAATACCATCTTTAGAACCATTCTAAATACATATCTCCAACTCTCACTTCTTCTCCCTACAACTCCAGAATTATATATCCAAATATCTGCATGAATAATTGATAGACCCAAAAGAGAACTTATGGCCTCAGGGGCTTTCACTTCCTCTCTGTGATTCATGTATCAGTAAACAGCATTGCAAACCATGCAAATACTTAAGACAAAGAATTAGGAATTATTCTTGTTCCTGTTTCTGTCTTTATACTTCACATCTACCTCATTGACAAGTCATGAAAATTCTACTTTGTAAACTTTCTCAAGTTCTCTGTCTCAATCTCTATTAACAGTCCAGCACAGGAAACCATTGTATTATGTCAACTGGCCTTCTAATTGATCTCCCTTGACTTCTTATATCCTATTGTCAGCAGAACAGCCAGCATGTTCCTGATCAAATGTAACTCATGTCACATCACACAAAACTCACAAATCTTGCTCAGCTTCCCATCTCACTTAGAGTAGAAGCCCTTCTGTCTAATATTATGTACAAAGCCCTACATGATCTGGCCAACATCATACTTTTTTAAAATATTTTTTTGGTTGTAGTTGGTATTATATCTTTATTTATTTTTATGTGCTGCTGGGGATCAAACCCAGTACCTCACATGTGCAAGGCAAATGCTCTACCACTGAGCTACAGCCCCAGCCCCCAACATTGTATTTCATATCTCATTTCTGACTATTCCTACCCTCACCCACACTAGTTTATTCTTGCCTGAGGGATTTTATGTTAACCTATCCATTTGCTTTTTACACCGATCATCTTCTCAGTTCAGTCCTGGCTCCTTCTGGTCAGCTATTAGTTAAAATGTCATCTGTGTGAAATGCTGTTGTCTAATTACTTAATCAAAAATGGCCACTCAATCTAACTTCATTACAGGCATCTGCGAACTTTTTCTGTAAAGGACCAGGTAGCAAATATTTTAGGCTTTGCAGACAGTAGGTTCTCTGTCAGAGCTAATAGATTTTGATGTTGCATCAGAAAAGCAGCATTGACAATATGGAAATAAGTGAATGTGGCTATGTTCTGGTAAAACATTATTTGCAAAAACAAGGCAATGTAGTTTGACAATTCCTGCCCAATAACATCAAACTCTGTTGATCCTCATCTTAATGTAATGTTATTTGTGCACTATGTTTTCCTTCATTAGAATTTAAACTCTGTTGGAACTGCAGCAACTTTGCTTGTGCCACTCATTATTTTGTTCCCAACACCTAATACCTAGAGCATAGAGAAAAACCTTTTTGCATCAATGAATAAATGAATGAATAAAACTCAAAATACAATGGAAAAATCAAAGCACCACCTCCAAAAGCTTACTTAATTTTTTAAAAATATTTTTGGTTGTAGATGGACACAATACCTTTTATTTCGTTTATTTATATGTGTTGCTGAAGATCAAACCCAGTGCTACACATGTGCTAGGCAAGTGCTCTACCACTGAGCTAAGTAGCCAGCCCCAAGCTTACTTAATTTTTCATTAGGGTAACAAAGATTAGAAGAGTACTACTACTTGCAGATCATTTTACTATTTCAAAGTTTTCAATTATTCTTTAAGTATAATTAGACTACCTAATGACAGAAAGCACAAAAGGAGATTTAAATCATGATTACATAGTACATATTTTATAAATTGTATTCATTTTCACTTTTTATTAAGGCATCTTTCTTGCATTAATTGTTCTCAACTGGGGTTATTTTGCCCCTCAGGTGACAGTTGGCAAGGTCTTGAGAAATTTTTCATTATCACTACTTGCAGCTGTTGAGGGAGGGTATTACTGAGATCTAGAAGACAGAGGCCATGAGTGCTGCTAAGTATCTTACAATGCACAGGACAGGTCCCCCAACAGATAACTACCTTATCCAAAATGCCCAGTAGTGCGGAAGTTAAGAAACTCCACCTTAGGCTTATTGCTCACGAAGTAGATATTTTTTGTTGTTATTAGGGTGATTCTCATGAAATTCCAGGGCACTGCTTAAGTCCATAAACAGGTTTTGAAAATATGTAAGAAAGCAGACCATATTTTATAAAGGCTAAAACTTTTATATGAAACACAAAGCAATTCTGAAGGGTTCATTTCACTAAGGGGACAAAATACAAACCTCACTGTCATATTTGTATTCCAAGAACACTCAGCCAATCTGATAACCTCCTTAAAGGAGTCAGACTTCCGAATGCCTGCTTGTGGGCTCGCACAAGGTTAAATGCATACCACGTTTCAAGATACTCAGTGGCCAAATGACAACAATGACAGTAAATTTGAGCTGACATCCTATGGCAGCAACAAAACAGGAAAGGAAGGAAAAAGCATTCCAAGGGCAAGAACAATCCTGCAAATATGCTTTTATAGTTTTCATGTAAGGCAGTGACATTGTTGTTACATTGATGATACCATGCGTTGTTGAGTTAACTGGCCCCAGGCCACAAGAGCTCAACAAGTCAGGCTCAAACAATAGCTGTGGTTTCTTTAACTTCATATAAAAGATAAAAGTAAGTTCCACTAACTTCTGGATTTATTTTTTAGATCTCAATAGAATATAGCAAGACTATCAATAAAGAGTAATTTTCATAACCATTTACTAACACAACAGGAGAACACACACTCATGGGGCAGGGGGCAATGCAGAAGATAACCAAAGGTTATGCCTGCACATTTTGCTGCTGTTCATATTATTATATAAATCACAGATTACACATAAAGAAAATAAGTGATTAAGTCTTCATGAAACTCCAAGATGCTTCATTATCCAGATTTTACTTGTCTCTGATTTTTCCTTCCTTGACACCTTCCTAAGAATGTCTTCCTTCTGTTTTCACATGGCAAAGTTCTGTCTTTGGTTTCCTTCATCCCATTCTGTATTCTACTTTAAGATTTCATCTGCTCAATGGATTCAACTATCGCTGCCAATGACTTCAGAAACATTGTTTTTCCTTCATCTCCAATAGCTTCAGATATTTGAAAATCTTGATGCTTCAAATTGTACATGTTTAAGACTCAGCTCACTTCCTTCTCCTCTGATGTGGACTTTTTCTACTCAATCCCATCTTGTTTATTTGATTGGATAATACAAAAATGTAGAGGTTACCTTGGCCTTTCTGTTAGCCTAAGTAGTTTGCTAGAGATGAGCAGGAATGGGAGAAGGAAAAGGGTGGGAAAGGGAAATAAAAATATAAGAGCCCCTGATAGGAATTTTCCCAGAGGTACCAGCCTTCTTCCACATTCTAGAAAGAGGCCCAGCACTACTGCCAGTTGATTTATGGGCACAAATCATGTTCCCAAGGTAACGCATGCACATGCAAGCTGCTCCTCCAAGGTCAGATGACACTTATCTAACCTTCTGCCAATGGCACTAGACCAGGAAAGGCAAACAACCCAAGCATGCAGGTGTTTGCCCTCAATTTTGATGCAGCACAGCACAGGCATATGATTTTCCCCAAATGGGCAATGACTACAGAAAAGCATCAGGCCAAAAGGGGAATAATCAACATTTACCATCATTGTAACTTGCCACCCTATCCTAAACATAACCAAACCTCAGTTAGCTCAGAGCATTTCGGTTCCTAGGTGATCTGATTACCTATCTCACTTTAAGGGTGTATCTCATTTTCTTTTGCCTTTCCTATGCCCTGTAATAAACCTGTCTAACCACTATCTGTGCCTGATCACATACTGTGTCTACCCTGGGATCACTGCCTAATCTTAGAGAATTATACTCAAGGACCTAGAAGTAAATCATAACCCTCTACAGACTATTCTAATCTCAGGTAGCACCTCCTTCTCTCTAATGTGGAATGCTAAATCCATCATAAAATCATATTCATTTACCTCTAAAACATTCTGAAGCAAGTTCATTTCCCCCTACCTCACTCCACCATACCAGTCTATGTTACCATTTCTTCCTCCAAAGATACTTAATTTTTTTGCAGCATCATCCCAAAGCTTTTAAGATAAAGGACACTTGGACATAAACTGCAGGGACCTATGTGGTTTGGCTCTTTTCTGGTCCTCTTCCTGGGATGGCACCTTCCTTCCCACCCTCTTGCTCAGCACATGGCCATCTTTCACTTTTCACTCATCTTTCCTCTCTTCGCAATATGTTGTCATAGAGATGGTGCATATTTTACAGCACACACACAAACCTCTGATTTAGAAGAACTTTTGATGTCGTCTTCTTCTGTTTGACTGTCTCTTCTCATCCTTGAAATTCAGTTTGTGTCATTCTGGAGGGGAGGCACACCCCCCAAAAAAACACCCTTTATCAGAGCCTCAAGTGTAAGTATTTCTCTTTATGATGCTTATTATACTTTTAAGTTTGTACATATTTTCAAAAAATATTGCTGTCTTCTTCAATTGACAATAACCTATCTACCTATGCAGAGTTTAAATAGCATATTTATCAATAAATAGCAACAATATTTCCTTAAAATATGAATAAAAATTAAAATGATCATTTTGACACATTAATCCATTCTGAAATTCTTACATTTCTCAACTGATACTATTGCCATCATCTCCTCATCATTTCCTTGGCTTCTTTCTCCCTTACTTTCTACATCTACTTGTTTGCCATGTACCATGGTGATACATCACATTTCCCATGAGCCACCTCAGTGCCATTGCTGCTCTTTCTGGTGTAGATACTCCCCAATTCGTCACTGGGTTAGTGCACAATCATGTTCCACATCTAATCTCTTCTCCTGTCAATCATTATTCTATCTTCCAAAAACACAGGTCCTATTGCTTCTGTGATCAAAGTAATTTTATGTTCCCATCTATGTCATACAGTAGCCACCATTTACTTCTGTATCATCTTGACTCAATGAACATTTTCCCAATTATCTCTAAACATCCTCCTTTTCACATTTTATATTCCCGCCAAAATGAAATACTTTGTGTAACCAATGCAGTATACATTTACCTCTTGTAGGAGTTTCTTTGTAATTTCTTATAGTTTGTTGTCTTTCAAGCACAAAGTCTACTTCTTTTGTGGTCATTTCAGATTTTTCCAAACAGGTATATCTCCCCCATTTGAACGACTACAAAAATTTTACCTTCTAGCTGCCTAAATTTATGTCTTACTTCCTTTACTAGACTATGTCTTTGCAGACCAGGACTGTTTCTTATTTATCATTGTATAAACTACAGTGTTTAACACCAGTGCTTTGAACACAAATATGTTCAGCGCAAAGCTATATTTGCCTCATTTCTTTATTTTATTGTCTCTTGAGTCTATGAAAGTTATATATATTTTTATGTATTTTATATTTTATTTCAATTTTTTAATCTTTTCTTGAAAACGCAGTTAAATAAATAAAGTTTTATGAAATCTGTTTCGTTTGCCTTCTAAGAATACTTAATTATTTTTTCCCAAAACAAATGAAATGGTAATAGTACGATTTTTAAAATTATGATCTGAGACTGATGAAGATAAACATTTGCTTAAAATGTGAAACTTTTATGTCCTTAAAGAACAATTTATAAACTGATCAAAGACTAGAGAAAGATGAAATTTATCTAAATTAATGATAAACATGAAAAAAAAAATAGCCGTGGAGCCGGGCAAAGTGGCGCACACCTGTGATCCCAGAGGCTCACACCTGTGATCCCAGAGGCTCAAGAGCCTGAGACAGGAGGATCTCAAGTTCAAAGCCAGCCTCAGCAAAAGTGAGATGCTAAGCAACTCAGTGAGACCCTGTCACTAAATAAAATACAAAATAGGCCTGGGGATGTGGCTTAGTGGTTGAGTACCTGGTACCCACCCCCCAAAATAATAATAAGAGCCCTGGAACACTTCAAGTAGACTTTTACTGAAATACTTACCTTTCATCTCAATTGCATTCTTGAGGATGGGTGTTCTCAACACTTCAAGCCAAGACAACTTACTTTAATATTCATTTCCATGGGAGTCATCCTATAGTTTTGAACTGCTAATACCATATTTTCCTTTTTTGAAGAAACAAAGCAACATAAAATGAAAAAAATAGCATTTTAATTTTATTTTTAAACACACATAAGACATAACAATTGTTCATATTAATGAGGTACCCTGTGATTTTTCAATACATGTATACATTTTGTATGTTTAAATCAGAGTAAATGTACCTATCTCCTCAAACATTTATCATTTCTTTTTGTTGTAAATGTCCAAATCCTTTCTTAAAGCTTTTTGAAGTGCACAAACCATTATTGTTATCCATAGTCACCTTATTGTGCAATAACATACCAGAGCAGGGCCCAGAGTCACACACCGGTAATACCAGCAACACAAGTGGTAGAGGCAGGAGGATTGCAAATTCGAGGCCAGTCTCAACAATTTAGTGAGATGCTTAGCAAGACCTTGTTGCATAATAAAACTAAAAAGAAATGGGATTGTAGCTCAGTGATAAAGTACTCCTGGGTTCAATCCCCAGAACCTCCCCACCAAAAACAGAAAAGAAAAATACACCCGAGCTTCTTGCTCCTGTCTAACTATGGCTTAGCACCTATTTTATAATTATACCTATACTGTACCAAGTGCTTGGACATATTTCCTGGTAAAACTCTTCCATATTTTAAAGCAGCTTTGATCTTTCATTTTAAATATTCTTTCTACACAAACTGTAGAAGTTTTAAGATTTTTTTATTAAGCAGATATCACTGTTTTTAACCTTAAATGTCTTTTATATAGACCATTGCTCTAAACCATATGTGTACACATATGCAAATTCACACACATTTCACAATTCACACAGTATAAAAGCTTTGTGAGTTAAAATGAGACTGTAGGTTAAAATAATATATATAAAGTTTAAATTCCATCTCTGAACAATCTACCATGTGAAAAACCCACAAAGCAACCAATGTTGCTTTATTTCTGTTTGATTTTCTTTGAAATTGCTTAAAAATAAAAAATAATCTAACAATTTATATTATATTGGAAAAATATTTTACATCCTTGATAGTCTCCTTCTTTATGTTTCTATGTCTAGAAATGTGAACTCAGTTTTCAGTCAGCATACATTTGTTCTGTACTTTGTAAATATTGTTGTGACATTCACAGATCAGTAAATCCTAGGTTGGAGGGATAGGAGTCAGAGATGAGCTAGTTAGGCCAGAAGGGATTGAGCTCAATGTCACAGTTCCTAGTCTAGACAAATAACCCAGAGCACAAAGCTTTCAGTTTTTCAATGTTTCAGTAACATGCAAAAACAACCCAAAGTCTTATAAAATTAAACATTTCCCCAGGTTTAGTTCTGCAGCAAAAGTAGACAATTGCTTCAGTATCAACCTAAGCTGCCTACTGAAAATCAGGGACTCTGGAGCAGCCTCTTTCCCCTTAGGGCTCCCTGGTATTATAGGATTTCTGGATTTCATGTATGTCTTAGAACTGGTCCTGGACTTCTGAGAATCAACAGATGCAATAACCTCTCTTTATATTTAACTTGTAGACTTGATTGAGATCCTTGTTATGCTACTTCCATCTCTTCTTGTCCCACCCTGCCTCCAGAATCCACCGAATACTCCCAAAGTGCCTTCTTTAAGAAAAGCTATCTGCCCATACTGATGTACATCCACATTTGAAGAACACTTCATGTTGTGGACATTTCAATGACTTTGAATTCAGGCCACATGTAGACTTGGCTTGCCATGTGTGTTAGTTCTCAAGTAACACTACTATTTGTTTCCAGGTAGTCACTGTAGACTCCAAATACTGTTTCTTTCTTTATTTCTTTCTTTCTTTTTGAAAATACAGTCATGAAGTTCTATGAAGTACACTTCTTGCTTATTCTTAGTTCTTGGAGTAAAACATTAAAACAACAGACGAAAATACGTAAAATAAAAAGTGGAATTATAAAATAATGATATGCATATCTTTCTACTTTAATACTATGTTGTGAACATCTGGGCTCATAGTGAATGTCAGCAATCAGAACAAGGCAAATTCTTCAAAACACATAGCCTAAGAAATGCAACGTATTTTTAAGTGTATCAAAATGTTTATTTTGATACACTTAAAAATATCTTTCAAAGCAATGAAGCTTATTTCAAGACTGACATTAAAAACCTATTTGAAATCAAAATTGTTTTCATTGGGTCAGGTCTTTTAATAGATGGAAATAATCCATATTATTTTACCTTTTTCAGGAAAGTTTAAACGGTGGCAATGAAATTATTTCTACAAAACATATACTTTCTATTAGATGGATTTTGCAGTATGTTTGAAAGTATCTAAAAGATATCAAATGGAATAAGTTATTCTTGTTCAGAGTGGTTTGAGTGCATTATGGTTTGGATATGAGATTTCCCGGCAAATCTCCTGTGTTAATGCAGGAAAGTTCAGAGGAGCAATGATTAGATTATGGAAACTGTAACCTAATCATGTAATCCTAGGTGAAATGGACTAATTGGATGGTAACTGTAGGTAGTTAGGACGGGGCAGAAGGAGGTGGGTTACTGGGATTGTGCCCTGGAAGGGTTCATCTTTTCTACTGCCCTTACCCCTCGCTTCCAGGCCACCAAGTCTTGAGCAGCTTCCTCTGCCATGCCCTTCTACCATGATGCTCTCCCTCACATTGGGCCCAGAACAATGGAATTGGCCCACAATGGACTAAATCTCTGAAACTGTGAGCCAAAATAAACTTTCCCTCCTCTAGATTGTTCTGATCAGATATTTAGTCAGAGTGACGCAAAGCTGACTAACACAGGGCATGTGTTTTTGTCTTGATTTTAACAGTTTTTTTAAAAATTTAAAAAATTTTTAAAATAATTATTAAAATGTTAGATGTATTTCTTAAGAAATGAAACATACTGCTGATGGTTTGACTCCTTTTTGTCCTCAGAGAACTCTTTGATTTTTGTTTGATTTTTGTTTGAGGCTATAGTATATTGAGCTAACTATGTTACCCAATGGTTCACACTAAGATGTAGGAAGAATATACCGGGAAAGTATTGCTTGCTAAATGGCAAAAACTTGCTAAAACAAAGCACTTTTTCCATTTGCGTTTTCCACTGCTTTCTGCCTGGAACACAGATGTGATGGCCATAGGTAAAAGGTAAACATTGCATCCATGAGGATGAAAGACCATATTTTTACAATGGATGGGCAGAAAGATAAAGAGTTGGGGAATGGATGACATCATGAAGCTGTGGTGCCGATCCGGACTGCTTGCCTCAGACAACTTTCATATGGGAAAAACAGGAAACTCATATGATGAGGCCCTAGTAGGCCTTATTCTCTGTTGAATGTAACCAAATGCAATCCTAGCTGATTTAATAATGTTTAAGTATTTGAATGATAACAATTATAGAATGAAAATTGACAATGGACAGAAAAGAGAAATACTTTGTTATTTTGAATATTTATGTGTTTTCTAAGGTGTTTTCCAAATTAATCTGTTATGAATTGTAACTTCAGCATGTTTGAAAGTTTTCAGTCATTCCACAATAATGTTTTTTTAAAGGTCAAAATTACAATACTCATTCAATTAAATGAAAACCTCTATTCTAGTTAGCTCAAATAAAGCAAAGTGATGGAAATTGTGAGAATCTTACAGTAAAACAATTTAAATCAGAAGCATAAGCATATAGAGAAAACTGACTTTTCACTCAGTTAATTTCTTCAAATGGTAGAAATACAGATATTTACAAAGTATGCATCTCTGTGCTCTTTTCTTCCTATTTGCCAAATACATGCAGAGGAATTCCAAGACAAGAGGTGAAGAGATATAAAGTGAAAGAAGCCTGGGTCCTTGAATCACCTCATGAAGGGAAGTTACCTACACAGGACAATAAACGTCAGAATCGGGCTGTTATGAGAGCAGGCAACAAACTTCTATGGTCATAAAAATCTATAATTTGGAGGTTAATTTATTTATTAGTCAATTGTCAAATACTTTATAAAAGAGATTTAATGAAATTTGCATCATATTCATCACATAAATTAAAAGTAAATTCTGATATTTGTCTCCCGTGGGTTGATTATGATACAGTGATATTCATGCATTTTCTAATTCAATCTCAAAAATAAATTTTAATACTACATCATTTCATCTATACATTTTGAAACACTAATTTCTATGAAATTCCATGATAAAACTCAATTAATTTTTGTGGGTTTGAAACTTAATTATTGAAGCTAGAAAATGCATTACCAAAGCTATTATAATCCAAGGTTTTTTTGCAAATGAATGCTCATAATGGAAATTTAAAGATTAAAAACTAATTAAAAGGAAGGCTGTTCTTGTAATTGATGTTCTAGTAATTTTGCTACTGAGCAATATTCTGTTAATATAAGTTGGGCCATCTTTCAATTAACATTTATCTAAAATTATATTATCTGTGATTTTACTTAAGATATTATAACTAGAACTAATAGTTGTTTCTTTCATACAAATACTTTGAATTTGGTTTTAAAGCTTTTATAACTCTATTCTCCTTTTTTTTTTTTTTTTAGCATTGCTAGGGATGCAAACCAGGGTTTTGCATCTACTAAGCAAATATACTAACATTGATCTAAACCCCTTGCCTGGCAACTGTATTTTTAAAAGTTAAATGTGCATAATATAAAACACCAAAGTTATGGGAGCAGAGAAAGTGCCCCTGCTATATTTTAGTAAAAGCAGAGAGATATATTTTATGATACAGATAGATCCTTGAATATATAAATGTGTCCCCAGCTCTACTTTACCCCCCACCTTTAGTTACCACTCAGTTAATCCCTGTCAGAGGATTAATTTACTGAGGTTAAGACTCTCAGAACCCAATCATTTTCCTCTGAACTTTCTTGCATTGTCTCAAACTTGAGCTTTCAGGGGATACCTCACATCCAAACCGTAATAGTATAGATGATATATATATCCCTACAGATACATTGTTTGGTCTTCCATCTGACATATATTCAAAGTGTGGGTTTGGGTCTTGTATAGTAAATTTGCCCAACTAAACTGCATTTATATACTTCATCTTATTTCGGAACTAACTCTGACTCATATATGACTTGAGCAGTATGTGAGTTTGCATTATGATTTGTATTTACATATATGTGAGTGTACATTGATAGATGGAAAGAATAAATGAGGATTCTAATTCCATCTACTTTGGTACACCTTCTTCTTAGAGACACTAGTTATAGAGAAGTGAAAAAAATGCATGTCTCTGCCTTCAATTATCTTAAAGTAAAAATGTATAATAATAATTAACTTATCTCAAAGATATGACAATATGATTGGTTTTGGCATTAATGATTTTTTTTTGGTGGGGGGTGTACTGGGAATTAAACTCAGAAGCACTCAATAACTAAGCCACATCTCCAGCCCTATTGATTTTGTATTTTATTTAGAGACAGGGTCTCACTGAGTTTCTTAGCGCCCTGACATTGTTGAAACTGGTTTGAACTCGTGATCCTCTTGTCTCATCCTCCAGAGCCTCTGGGATTACAGGCCTGGGCCATGGCCCCTGGCCAACATTAACAATGCATTACCAAAACTATTACAATCCAAAGATTTTTTGCAAATGAATGCTCATAATAGAAATTTAAAAATTAAAAACCAGTTAAGAGGAAGGCTGTTCTTGTAATTGATGTTTTAGTAATTTTGAAGATTAATATTATTGTTCTGTTGTGTTGAAAGAGTCAATGGTTAAGGTTATACTTACTAAAAGAAACAGATTTATAACCTGTCCAGTTGCTGGGAAAACTACATTGTACATCATTAAATTAATCTATGGGAAGAAAAAACAAAGAAGTTTTGTAAATTATGAACATGGTATATTCTTATTAAATGAAATTTTAGGAAATACTAAAATGTATAAAATATGTCACCCATAATGCTTTCACCAAACATACTGCTGATATTTTGAGATGTTTTCCTTCTATATATTTCACTTCATCCACTTTAAAAAAAACCAATTTGTTTTGGTCATGATGTTGCCTCTTTTGTCCATTTTGTTTTCATCTTCATTTTGGAGTTAACATTATATCATACTCTTTTCATTAAAGCCATTAATCCAAAAAAACATGCATACACACACAAACGACACATAGGATTATATGCTCTTTAAATATATTTTGCCATCTTGCATGTTAATGCCTATGAAACAATCTGTGATGAAGTGTATTTATATTCCTTCTCCAACTGTTCTTTATAACACATTTGTGTGTGTGTGTGTGTGTGTGTGTGTGTATGTGTGAAAAATTATCCCATTCTCTTGTTCAGGATCTATCCCATTCCATTACCACTTACCTCGATGCCATAAATAGCCACATTTACTTATAGTTTACTCATGCATATATGTCAGATGAACTTCTGATACAAACTCAACTTTGGAGAAATTTTCTGTGGTGATTATGCTACATCTCTATTGCTTGCTGCTTATTCACATATCATTCTCTGTGATTGTTCTTTCTCTGTCAGCTCCAAGTTTCATTTACTCATTTGGCAAATATTTATGGAAAACTTACACTTCAGGCAATATGTCAGACACTGGATTATAATGGTGAATAGGACAGAATTTTTGACAGTCAATTAGTATATCAATGTGATAAGTGCTGAGTGTCTTAAACTAAATGTATTATGGCAGGAAGAATAGAAATGGTCACTCTACTTAAGGCATCAAGAATAATTTTCTTGCATACTGAACCACTCAGTTTTGTATTACTATAATAAAATACTTGAGGTAGCTAATATATAAAGAGAAAAGTTTTATTTAGTTACAGTTTTGAAGGTTGAAGAACTTGGCAGCTATATTGGTTCAGTTCCAGAGAAGACTCTCTTTCTCAATTGCATCTTATCCTAGCAGAGGCCCTATATGAGGAAGAGCATACTTCACCAAACAAAATCAGAGGGAGAGTCTGATGTTCCCTCCAAGTCATATCACCAGTGACCCAGGGGCTTCCAGATAGGACTTGCCTGTCAGCTTTCATCATCTCTCAATAAAGCCTGCAGAGGTACCACTCAATCACAAGAGACCCTTGGGTGACACTCAACCATACCCAAACAAACCATAACAATTTCATTGTTTATAACACTGTCAGCCCAAAAAATGACTACAAGCCCAGAAAAAAGATTTAGTTTTTATAAAAAAAATCCTCAAATATAATTTTGGTAATTCAGGTAGATTTAGGAATAAATCATTTACAACCAGGACAAGGTAACATGTTAAGAAAGGAAGAAAGAAGCTCTAGTCAATGTTCAGTGCTTAATGAGCATAGCAATCTCTCATGAACACAACGGGGTCATTGACATCAGGAGACGTAGTCAGGCAGGCCACTGCAGCAGAGAATTCTGGATGAAGTGACTGTCATACAAAGAACTTTTTTAAAAAAAAATGTAGCATAACTGTGGACAGGGAGGGGGTACTATCCTGAGGGCAGAATCCTGACTTTAACAAGGCACAGCTCTTGTCTTTGAGTTCATAAGATCTCACTGTAAGATAGAAAGGTATTGAAGGTCAGTAGAATTAATATGCAATAAAATTTACTGGGAAAGAAGCCATGCAGAATTCTCGAGTTTGTGTCAACAGAATATCAAGAAGAATGTATTAATGGAAAGAGGACACATTTCAGGCACCAGACTCATTGATTTTTTGATCAAGTTAGAGATTTTCGGGGCAGGGGTGGTGGTGCTGGGATTGAACCCAGAACCTTGTGCATGCAAGGCAACACTACCACTGACCTTTCTCCCCAGCCTAGGTTAGGCTCATTCTTTTCTCCCCAAATAAAATATGCTTTCAGATACACTAAGCTATTCTTCTGTATCTGTAATCCTTCATAATAAAGTTCATAGTATAAGTTTTAGCAATATTTTCAATAAAATCTGTGGAATAATTAAATTTCCAAGTAAAGAAGAAACATTAAATTGAAAGCAATGTCTGAGAAACTCAAAGTTAACAGACTCCCAGGCTTAATGAATTAGAGAAGTAGACCTTAATCAAAGCTGTCACTGAGGAACCCAGATCTTTGCAAGACAGCTTGTGGGTCTCCTGTGACATGTCTGGGGGAGGGCAGAACTCACACTCTGCTATTTACACTGGCATGTGAGCTCTGGTAGTAGGTGTTGACTTTGTGGATTCATGACATACATGCTTAGGAACTGAGTAAACTTTCAAGATCGATTCCATCCCTAGGTTCCATTATGTTAAGTAACTTCTGATGATTTCCAAATAAGAATCTGGGAAGGACTCAAGCAATTCCCACAGACTATTTATCTCAGGAATTCACTTCCTGACTCAAGAATCTTAGACTATTAAGCAACAGGCAAAGTCTATGGATAGTAACTATGACTCCAGTGACTGGTCAGATGCAGGAACTTCCCCTGAGCAAGAATTGTTTCTAGCTCTGCAATCCTCTTAAAAGGTTAATATTTTTTTCATTAAATTATAAAGGTGAATTATTGATTCAGTACATTTTCAATGAAAACATTTTTACATTCATGTACAGAATGAATGTGAAAAGGGAGAAAATTTCTCCCTGATAGATTACTACTGGCTTTTTCAATGTTTTTGTTATATATACATATATATATATACATAATATATATAATATATATATTTATAGAAAGTGTTTTTAAATCTGTACTCTGAAGGTTAAAAATAGCCCTGAGACATAACACAGTATCTAAGATCCCTGTACTTATGGGGAATGGCTTCATTTACAGATATCATTCTGCATATAATTGAATTGGAACTAAGCAAGTTGAATTTTCTATTCTTCAAAGGCCAGTATAGTTTCTAACCAAGCTTGTATAATATTTAGGGAAAAAGCAATTTCTAAAACAGTGGCTTATTTATATAATGCTAGTACTATGAAAAATAGAAAACTATATCTATATTCATTAAGATACAGTAATATCCAAAATATATTACATTTAAACAAAATCAAACTGCAAAAAAGGTATGTTAATATCTGTGTTGAGGAAAAGATAGATAGGTCAATGTGTTAGCCAGATTTCCATCACTAAGTCAAAAATCTAAAATAATCAATGTATTAAGAAGAAAGGTTTATTTTGCTCATGGTTTCAGAAGTTTCAACAGCAGTAGAAGAATAGGAAATAATTCACAGTGTATTTCACGAAGCTGGTATAACCTGGACATGAAACCAAAGGAGACTGCCAGAATAAAACCATGAAGGAAACCTAACATGAACAGACTCAAGTTCATCATGAATGTAGATACAAATATCCCTATATAAAGCACTTTAGGAACAAGCCAGGAAAGACATATAATGATATGGGTTGATGTAGAATAATTATAAGACAAAAGTCAACATTCACTGATAAAAACTCTCAGGTAGAACTGGAACATGTTACGAATTAAAACATGTCCTCCAAAGACACATGTAGGTTCAATACTCCATACTAAAGTATATGGATTTTTTTTTCCAGAAGTGATATTATGATGATGTAATTACCCATGATGGAGTCATGAGGGGCTGAGCTCCTGGATCACCCTGTCTTGCGTCCTTATGAGGAGAGCAGGGTGAACACTTGATTCCGTCTGGTTAACTCTCTATGAGGAGAGCAGAGCAACTTTCGATTCAGTGTGACTTTTCTCCTGTTTAGTTGATGTTTGTGGTGAAACATTTTAATACTTATAGCTCTCACTGGGGTAGGTCCTGTAGATATTTCTTTGTGGTTCCTGAGGTGGGGTGGCCATGACACCCCTCAAGAATAACACGAGAAAGGAACACCACCTTGATACGAAACTGCAGCAGAGCAAACTCAGTAGTGTAGAGAAGACTGTTGAATTGCCTCTGCATCCCTACCCCCTCAGCTGCTGATGTCACAATATTACATGTGTAGGTACTGTGTGTTTAATACCATAGAATAGAGTTGGGGTTTTCTGTTACATGTATCTCTTGCATCTTGTGGAAAAGAGAAGTGGCACTAGCTTTTGTAATGGTCGTGAATTTGCTCTACCAGAGGTTTTTCTGCCTTCATGGAGATCTGAGTTCCTAACCCAGTGATGACCTGAAGGACTCCCTCACACAGGGTACATCTAGTAGGGACCAACTCACTGGGCTCTTGTCTATCAAGTGCTGTGGCTGGAATGTGTGTGTCTCTCCAAAGTTCCTGCCGATGCTTCAATCTCAACAGAATAACATTGAGAGGTGAACTTTCAGAGGGTGGTTAGGCCAGGGACTCCTACCTCATGGAAGGGATGTGTACCTGAAGGGTGCTTCTCCTACCTGCACAAGGACCAAGGACCTGGTTCTCTTCCCAGACCACACACACACACACACACACACACACACACACACACACACAATTATTTCGCAAAACTAGGTGAAGAAGCATGTGGCAGTGGCTTTTGTTTTGTTTTGTTTTGTCTTTGAACCAAGAGATTGAACCCAGGGCTGCTTAAACACTGAGCCACATTCCCAGACCTTTTAAAATATTTCATTAGAGAGAGGGTCTCAGCAGAGTTGCTAAGTGCCTTCTAAAGTTGCTTAGGCTGGATGAGAACTCACACTTTTGCAGCCTCAGCCTCCAGAGCCTCTGGGATTCAGGCATATGCCACTGCATCCAGCTGTGTGACAGTGTTTAGTGAGCTTTTCCATCACCGTGGCCATGACACCCGCCAAGAATAACTTGGAGGAGGAAACATTTAGCTGGGAATCATGGATTCAGAGGTCTCAGACCATGGATGGCTAACACAATTGCTCCAGACCCAAGATGAGGCAGTCCATTATGGGGGAACGTCCCAGAAGAAGAAAGCTGCTCACCTGAAGGCAGCAAAGTGGCAGAGACACAAGCAGAGACAGAAAAAGAGTGTGGCAAGGATCAGAGGGATGAAGCACCCTTCCAGTGCCTGGCACCAGTGACCTACCTCCCCCAGACATGCCCCACCAGCTTTAAGTCATCAGAGAGTCAGTCCATTCAAAGTAGGATGCACTGATAAGGTTACATTTCTCCCAATCTCACTATTTCATTTCTGAATATTCCTGCCCCAGCACCAGAGCCTGTGTACGGGACACCTCACATCTGAACTATAATAGGCTATAATGCTCTCAACCTGTGGCACCCATGCAGGAGGCTCCCACACAGAAGCACAACCTGAGCAACATAGTGATATAATTTCTTACAAAAGACAAAACAGATAAGTTGGGGCCTAGGGAAGTAGTTGAATGACAGAGCACTTTCCTGACGTGCCAGAGGCCCTGGGTTCAATGGCCAGTATGTGCAAAGAACACAAAACACAAACCTAAACAAACAAAAGCAGGGCTTGAGAGAATGTGGTCAACACCTCTACTCCTTCCATCATCTGAGGATACAGGAACAAGGTGCTTTGACCTTGGAGATGCCAGTCTCCAGAAGGGTGGGAAGTGAATTTCTATTGTTCATAAATTACCCAGTCTAAGGGGTTTTGGTAAGAGCTTCAGGAAGAGACCCAGGTGTGTGGGAACATCTCCAATTCTTCCCCCAATGGGAAGGACACTTTTGCTGGTTCTAAGATTGTAGGCTTCTGTATTTGATCCCTTATCACTTTGAGCATATCAATCCCCCACCTTTTGCATTCCAGAGTTGGTATCAAGAAATCTGATGACAACCTTGTGGGGAAGGGGTGATGAACCCTCCCTCACACTCAACCCCTGTGGTGTTAGTGCCTAGCTCTAGAACATCACAGGGAGCAGTGCGTTCTGTTATAGCATCCCCATATGAGAGCAGCATTACCATCCCTTGGACCCCTTCAATTGTGAATTGGAGGAAAGGGGAATTGAATGATTTGAGTGTAGATATGGGGAAGTCTTCAGAAGCTGAAAGTTACTATGGATTTTCAGACTCCAGATGATAACACCATTGAAGCATCTTACCGATTTTCATCTCTCAACATGTAAATATCAGTCTGCATGGCCCACGTTAACAAAAAGCTTCTGGGATCTTTTCTTCTTCATATCATGAAGGACAAAAAATCCTGGACACCCCCACATTGAGATGACCCCTGGGGCTATGGGCAGTCGTGACTGGTCATTTCTTGCTCTGACCTCACGAGGAGCCACTGTGAGGTAATCTCAAACACCGGCTATATAAGAGAGTGGCTGTGGGTGGGTTTTTGTCCATAAGTACAGGAAGCTCTTGGTGGTGACCTGTCGGACTTCCAGTTAGCACATTTGGTGGTTGGTGGTTGGTGTTTATGGTTGGTATTTGCTGTTGATTCTTTGATTTGGGATTTGTTTGTTTGTTTGTTTTGTGTGTTGCCTTTTGTTTGTTGGTTTTGTTGTTTTGTTTGGGTTTGTTATTTTTCTTTTCAGCTAGTGTCCTTAGTTGGTGTTCCAGCTTAAGATGCAGAGAGACAGTAGTGAGAGTAGTGCAGTGGCTCCGAGGCCCAGCTCCTGCTATGAGTCAGCCCTCACGGACCATTATCGTGTCCTGAGGACCATTGGGGAGGGGAGCTTTGGACAGGTGGTAGTAGCCCGCCATCTCCTGAGCGGGACAGAGGTGGCAGTGAAGGTGGTGCCCAAGACAATGGAGAACAAGCCTGTGCTGTGTGAAAGGGATTGGTTGATGGCCCTGGAACACCGAAACATGATCCAGCTCTTCCAGGTCATCGAGACCGTCCACCATCTGTACCTGGTCATGGAGCATGCAGGTGGGGGACAGCTACGGCGTCGCATCCCAAAGGCTGGTGGCATACCAGAGGAGAAGGCCTGCAGAGTGTTCAGGGAGATGGTGCGTGTTGTGCATTACTGCCACGAGAAGGGTGTGGTGCACCTGGACCTGAAGCCTGAGAACTTTGTGGTGGATGCCAGGGGCCACATAAAGCTCATCGACTTTGGCTTGAGCACCAGCTTCACACCTGGGCAGAAGCTGCATGACTTCAGGGGCACTCTGCCATACTGTGCCCCTGAAATCATCCAGGACAAGGGATTCGAGGGTCCCCCTGCCGATGTCTGGAGCCTGGGTGTCACTCTCTACTTCATGCTGACAGGGACAAGGCCATTCAGGGCGAGCAACACTAATGAGCTGCAGAAGCAGATTTTACAGGGAAGCTATGACCTTCCCCCACACATGTCCAAGGGAGCATGCAGCCTCATCCAGCAAATCCTGAAGGTGGACCCTAAGCAGAGGCCCACCCTGGAGCAGGTAATGGGGCACCCATGGCTAAGGCAGGGCGAAGACTCGTCTCCCAGGCGACGTCCCAGCAAGCCACTCCCCAAGCGGCCCAACCCAGCCATCATGACCATCATGGTTGACATGGGTTATGACCCCTATACTACCTGGCTCTCCCTGGCAAAACGCCAATTCGATGAGGCCATGGGTACCTACCTTATCCTCCAGCACCAGAGAAGCCAGGGGGCTGACTGCACGCTCTGGGTCAAGCCTGTGCGTCAGGTGGTTGGGCCTCGCCCAGGCCGCGTGATGGATCCTCCCAGTGTCCGCCCCAACAAATGCCCCAGTGAGCCTGCGCTTGCCTTGCCCTGTGAGCAGCAGCAGCCTGGAGAGGCCAAGAGGGCAGGGCAGAAGGGCGCCGCCCATGCCAGTGTTCCCGCCATTCCTCTGTGCTTCCTCCACGCAGACACCCCCTCCCAGCCTAGCCCCCCCAGCAGGATCCTGGGCACCAGTGGCAGACGTACCTCAGGCCCAACCCTAGTAGGTGAGTCACACAAGGGGGCAGCTCGGCCTCCCAGGGTACCTCCCCAGGGCAGCCTGAAGAGAGAAGCAGGGGCTGGAGGGGGTTCACTAGGATGGCCACCTGCCTTCAGAAACTGTGCTGCTGCGTGCCTGCTTCCATGGACCCGCCTTACAAGCTAGAAGAGGGGCTCCAATGATCCGAGGCCACAGGTTCCCTAGGTTCCACAAGAGAGTGGCCCCAGTGAACATGCCCATGTGAAACAGGACAATGGACAGTCAGAGAACCCCGAGCTCTGAGCATCCCCTCAGCATGGCCCTGGCTTAGGTCACAAAGCGGACCCCAGTCTTCCAAGGTCAGACTTGCTAACTGGCTCAGGCTTCACTGTGTGGCTTACAGCCAGGAGCTCATCTGGATCCACCAGGACTCTCCTCTGCCCCCCACCTGCCAGAGACATCAGAGACTCTTTCCCTTCCCACACTTCCCGGTGCCTTGCTCTTCTGTGCCATTGCAAAGATGGTTCTGAATAAATCTGTTTTATCAAATTACATGAAATCCTCTATGTTCCGAAGCTTAAACCTTAGTCTGTTGTTATAGGCTTGTGGTAGCATAATACATGTTGGTGGGAAGGAATTCCTTGTACTTCACGGCAGCACAGAGTGAGGTGAAGGGCCATAATCCTAATATCTTCTTCAAAGGCACACTCTTACTTCCTTCCATTAGGTCCCACCTCTTAATGTTTCTTCAATCTCCAAAGGTGCCACAGGTTGGTGACCAAAAGTTATACCATGGGGTTTTGGGGAAATTACTCATCTAAACTATTGTAATAGACAACATAGATAATGTGTATGTCTTAAGGAGTTTTTGGGTAGCATAGTCAAAATCTTAAAACTGATGATAATAATTTCTTTTGGCTGGACTTAGGGAGACTATTGGAAGCTGCAGAAGATAGGTACAGGAGGGGAAGATAGGTGTCAGGAGGGAAGAAATACAGTTCCTTTGTTTTTAAATTTCAATAAAACCATTTATAATAGCCCAAAATATCCATGAATATCCCATCTTAGCATATAGCTCATATGAAATTATTAATAAGCTCTTTTGCATTCTTTTTAAGTATATGAAGTCATGTATTTTACACTGATCCATACATTTCATCTGGAACTAGCTGCATTTCAAGTGCTCAAGTGTCAGTTTTCCTGTTCTGTGCCTATTAGACAGTGTTGTGCTAGAGGCATGAAGTGTTTTCATGTAGGTAGGGTAAGCTTTAAGAGCAAGTTGCCTCCTAAGCTGAACCTAGAAACATGAATGCTATATTATCAGGTTCAAACACAGAAGGGGGAAGGTGCCCTGCTTACCTTGTGCTCCTGGGTGCAATGGGTGGGCTCTATTGGTTAGCCAGACAGAGAAAGGGAGAAACGGCTATAGCAAAAACAGTATGGTAAATTAATGAAATTATGTTACTTGCACGTATGGATATGCTACAATGAAAGCACTATTCTGTATACTTTTTATGCACCAATTAAGGAGAAAAAAGAAAAGAAGCTGTAGGTTGAAGACACATACTCTTCCAGCACTCTCACCTGTTAGAACTCAAAGAATCTGCTGTGGGGATGGGATGTCAAGGTTCAGATCATGAGAAGGGGAGCCAGCTGAGGGTGAGCCTCAGCAGGTCACCCAAAAAGGTGGAGTCATACTGTGCTGCAGAGTTCTGATGTCATTCAAAGACTTGCTTTTTCAGTGACAACTCGGGAAATCTCATAGAAGCTGGATTTGAGGGGTCATGGCAGGCAGACAGGACAGGAACTCCATGGACTGGAAAGAAGGCTGACCTAGGACAGGGGAACAAATGTCTAGCAGGAGAGAGACACAGAGACAGAGATATAGGGAGAAAGCTAGAGATAGAGATATTAAAGAATAAACCCTGGGATATATTGGATTTGGGATATAAGATAAGGGTAGCATCAACCAACCCCTCATCTGCAAAGTTGGAGGATTTTTCTGCCAAACCCTTCAGGCACCCTTGAAGGGAAATACATAGTCAGGAATTTGGAGCATACCATCTCTGTTTTACAGAGATAGAGATGTTGATTCAAGGTCAAGTGACAGCTAGAATCACCTTCAAGTCTCCTTGTCCCCTGGGGTATGCACAAACCTTATCCTTAACCTACCCGTATCTAGCCCAAACAATCTGCTTCCCTCTACCCCTTTTATCTTGTAGTTCTAATGAACACGGGCATTCCTTCCCACTTTTACTTCTCCTAATGGCTTTCTGTTGTGTTCTTTTTTTTCTGGTGGGAAATCACCTGGAGATCTCTTGTTTTGTCTTGAACACCCCGTGAAAGAGAAAGCAGTTTATAGGGCACTGCTCCAACATTGGCTCTTGCAGCTGAAAGTGCCATCACTTAATGACAGCTGTGATTCCACTTCCACCAATATCCTCCCCTGACTCCTGAGGGGGCTGAGATTCTCCATGTCCAAAAAATTCTCAGGTTTGCCCCAGCTGCTTCTGTATGAACTATACTTTCAATATTGAGGGTACAGAGCAGGAGGTCCCAATCTTAGTCATTCTCCTGAGAGTAGAGAGATGAGAGAGACTATACAATTTCTGAGGTCTTGAATGCACTCCAGCCAAAGCAAGTCATACCTCTCTGCACATGAGAGCTGGGTGTCAGTCATCCTTAAAGGTCTTCTTTCACTCTCTTGGAATCCAACCACCACGTATGGAAATTTGCCCTAGGTAGCTTAAGAGAGAGACTCTAATAAAGGAACTGATATATTAAAAGAGAGAACATAAGAAGGAGAACTCAGTCCCAGACCTAAGCCAACCCTTTTAGGGCCTGGATATGAGTGAGATTATCTTGATTCTTCATCCCCCAGTCAGCTGCCCCAGTCAACAGTCCATAGAGCAGAGATGAGCTGTCCCTTGAGTCCTGCCTGAATTTCTGACCCACAACAACATACATTGTGTGTTTAAACCAAATGGTTTTTATTTACAATCCATAAAACTTGAAGTAATTTATTACACAGCATTACTAACTGTTACATCCCATGGGACCCCAAGCGCTTCACAGTAGGACTTGACTTGATCTGCTTCTGTAATTCTTTACTTAAGGAGGATTTTAGAGAATAATGGAGAAATGCTAAATGCTAGGGAAAGGCCAAAGTAAAAATCACAGTGTTGTCCAGATCAATTAAAAGCAGGAAATAGACAATCATTGCTTGGGAAACATGTTTAGTAAAAACCAAAGAAAAATAGACAAGGTTTCCCTCCCTCCACAGATGAGCATCTGGCCTTTTGTTGGTGTCAGCTGACCCCAACTGCTATTCCTTGATCTCTCTGCTGTCTCTTCCCATGGTT